AATAAAATATTAAAAAAAAAAAAAAAAAAACTAAGTTATGGAGCTGGAGAACAGATTAACTATTGCTAGGGGTTAGGAATGGAAGGGGTAGGCACGTAAGAGAGCCCAGTGATGATGGAACCATTCTGTATTTTGATTGTGATAAAATTGCACAGAATTACACGTACACACACACACACACACGCATGCACACAAGTGCATGCGTAACTGGTGAAATCTGAATTTCACCTCCACAATTATCAGAAGTTTCCTGAGCATTTACTATGTGCGAGAGACTGTGCTTAATGTTGAGTGAATGGAAAATAGGAGCCAACACTAGTGCTCACCTTGGTGCTAGATACTCTTCTAAACGATCTAGAAATACTGACGCGACTAATCCTTTAACTACCCAGTGAAGCAGGTACCATTACCCTCCTTTTGCTGGGAATATCTGATGTAAAGAGGATGTACGCTGGAAGTGCTGAGGCCTCCTGGGAAGCCCCAAAACAAAGCCAGCACTGGAGAAAGCAGAGCTAAGAAAGAGAGTGTCTGAGTGCTAATGACATTGCTTGAGTGCCTGAATCCAACCATGCCTGAAGCCAACTGGATTTTCCAATTACATGAGCAAATATGTTCCTTCTCTTGCTTTAGCAGTTTTGAATTGGGTTGTGTCACTTATATCTGAAAGAATTCTGATGGATCTTGCTCTCAAGAAGCCTAGTGGTGAGGAAGGGGAGATGGACAAATAGTGAAAATAGTGCACAGGTATGTGCAAGGTATAATGAGTGAGTGCCCAGAAGAGGAAGTGAATAATAATGGGTTATCAAGAAGGTCATGCAAAGGATGTTATGTTGGAGCTGAGTCTCTTGTGGGGATAGAGTCTGCAGTTGGACAAAGGCAAGAGTCTCAGCTAGGAGTAGAGGTGAGAGGGACATTTCAGTAAGAAGAAGCTGTATGTGCAAAGGTGTGAAATTAGCACATTATGTTCTTGAAACCATTCAGAATTTACTGAATGAACCAGCAGGTGTTGCAGATTAAGGGTTTGGCAAAGGCTGTTGTCTTGAAAGGACTTTTAATCCTTGCTAAGGAGTTTAGATTTTATTTGGTGGCTAATAGGGACCCAGTGAACCATTAAATGAGACAAAGCAAAACACCTACCACATGCCAGGCTCATGGGAGGACCCCATTCTCTATATATCAATGAGCCTTTAGGAGATGGATGGCATTGTAAGATGTGCACATTGTGAAGATTACTCTTCATTTGGAAAGCAATGGGGAAGGAAAGACAGGTTACCAAGGGGTCACTGTAGTAACACAGACAAGGGATGATGAGGCTTGCACTACGGAACAATAAATATCTAGGAAGTAAAACTGACAAAACTCAGGACCAATAAAATGCAGGGATTGAGGGTAAGCTGGGGGTCTGAGTGGCCTCCAGGTTGCTGGCTTGCATGACAAATTAGGTGGCAGTGCTACTGTCTAAGCTGTAGAATGCAAGAGCATAAACTGATTTGCAGACTGGCAGCAGGGAGAAAAGATGAGGGCCGTTTTTGAAAAGTTGAGGCTGAAACCTCTGGGATGTAAGTGGAAATTCTGGTAGACAATTTTATACACATACAGGCCTAGACATCAGCAGGGTGAGCTAGATTGGTAATACAGATCTGGAAGTTACTGGCATAAATCGAAGTATGTCTCAAACCTGGCAAAACATTAGCATCACCTGGGGATCTTCAAAAAATACTGACGCCTGAGACCCCCTACTAGAGGTACTGGTTTAATTGGATTGGGGAGGGGGAGAGGTGGCTTCATGGGGGTGGGGCCTGTACCATCACACTGGGCAGGGGCTCAGAGGGTTCCTTGCTTGGTTTAATGCTCTGCTATCACTGTCTTAAATTCTTGATCATTTTTTTGACAAGGGCCCCCTATTTTCATTTTGCATTGCACCCACCAAATTGTGAAGCCAGTCCTGGGTCCAAGCATGAGTATTTGTAAACATTTCCCAAGTGATTCTAATGTGTAGCAGGTTGAGAAGTTCTGGCCCAGGAAATGTGGAGTGGGAAGTTTGAGAATGGCACTTTAGGAAACATCACACTTGTGGGGGAGACAGAAGCAGGAGTCCATAAAGGAGAAGCAGAAAGACTGATCCCAGAGCACGGAGGAGAATAGAAGGCTGGGAACCCTAAAGTAAAGACAGAGAAAGATGATCAACCCACTTAAATAGTGCAGAGAAGAGCTTGGTGTTCAGGACAATACTAATTAACTTTGCCAGATGAGTTAGGGAGGCAGGGTGAGAGCCAATGTCAAACTGGAGGTGAAGAAGTAAAAACCAAGGGCAATGAAGATTCCAAAGAGCTTGGCCCTGAACGAAGAGGAAGAGAAAGGGCAGTAGTCAAAGTAGGACAGTGACTACGCAGCTATTTTTTTAAGCTGGGGAAATCTAACACAGGTTAGTATGGCTGGGAGGAGAGAAATGGGGAAGGGGTGGAGGTCATTAATGAGAGGATGACTTAGTGGAAGGTGGAGAAAATGGGACATAAAGAATTCTGTAAGTTCTGCAAGGATAGGACCATGTCTGACTCATTCCTCAGGACTTCATGTCTATGACAGTCTCTGGCATACAGTAGGTGCTCAGTGAAGGTATCCTCAGGCTCAGCAAGCAGCAAGAGTGAGTGGACGGGGATGGTAATGAAAGGACGGAACCAGAGGTGGGTGTTGGTAAGCAGGGGTCTCCAGAGGGTGAAGGGCAATGGAGGGCACGGGGGAGACGTAGTTGAAGGTAGTACCTCTGTCCTGAACCTTCTCCACCACCTTGCTGTGTGCCTCTTTTATCTGGGTTGGGTTGGTAACATCAAGCTGGATCACGGAGAGATGCAAGGAGCAGGTTCTTCGCAGTTCCTCTGCTCCTGATCCTTTTTCATTCAACACTCCAGCAAATACTGTGAAACCCAGCTGGTCCAGATGCTTGGACAAAGCATGGCCAATCCCAGAATCACAACCTGCAAAGGGTCAAAGCAGTACAAAGTGGACTAAAAACAAAGTGACGGGAGCATTTGTTTAACAAGGAGGACATTATATGTTATTTGTGATTTTCCGTGTTCTCTGAAGACAGTGGGTCTTAAGGAAGTCTCTTTATTTGCTAATGGGGTAATGGGTGGAGAATGCAAGATGAATTTCTCCTTATAAAAAAAGAGACATGAGGTAGAATTTAATCCGAGGGTGGGTTGGAAATAGGTAGGTCTCCAGGTGGCACAAACAGTTGGTGCTCAACTACTAACCTAAAGGTGGGCAGTTCAAACCCAACCAGTGGTACCACAGAAGAAAGGCCTGGAGATCTGCTTCCATTAAGAGTACAGTCAAGAAAACCCTATGGAGCAATTCTACTCTCTAATACATGGGGTCGCCGTGAGTTGGAAAAGAGCCCTGGTGGTGCAGTCGTTAAGTGCTCAGCTGCTAACTGAAAGGTTGGCAGTTTGAACCCACCGGCCACTTCTCAGGGGAAAAGACCTGGCAATCTGCTCCCTAAAGATTATAGCCTTGGAACCCCTATGGGGCAGTTCTACTCTGTCTTACAGGGTTGCTGTGAGTTGGAATTGACTCAATGGCACACACCAACAACAAGTTGGAATTGACTCGATGGCAACAGGTTTGGTTTTTATCTAGGGGGGAATAGGTGGAAGGAGAAAGGCTGATGGGGAGAGGGGGAGGAATGAATGGTCCCGGAGTGGCTGGTGGCCAAAGAGGAACTTGGGAGGGAAAATCGAGACATTCAACAGAATTTTTTAAACTTATCTTTGCTGTATAGTGTTTGATGTAACCTCCCTCATACTCCATAAAATCATTAGTAAAGCATTCATTACAAACTAATACTTAATTTTGCTTTCTGGAGGCATAACAAAATACTGGGTCCTGCTTCAAAGTAGACACAAGGCAATAGAAGAGGCTGCCCACAGGGCTCAATTCCATCTGGGTTATAGAAGATGAAGGCTCACAGCCGTCTGTCCTTCTCATGTCACAGGCCTTTCTCCAGCCGAGGCCTTCCCCAAGCCTTTGAATAGACATCAACCCTAGAAAGAAACTTGCAACAGGAACCATATAGAAACCCTTAAGCCCATTGCTTTGTGAACGAAAAGAAAACGTAATACATAAAATATGCGTCAGACCTCTCAGCATTTTAAATGGGAGTTTGCCGGACCCAGTCTGGAGGATAGTATAAACCCTATAGAAATACCTTACAACCCCAAGGGCAGCACTTAAATAACTGAAGTTCTGGTACTGAAGATGAAGACAGCGTGGACATGAACCTGCCATCACCCTTTGAGCCATGTCACGATAAACTTGTAACAATTAACGTGTCTCCATGGTTGTAAAGATCAGAGTCATTTCATGTTGACTGTCATGTTATCTTCCCTGTAAACCTCAAGGGATCTGTCTGTAGTAGCTGAAGGCTGCAGTCAGGTACCCCCCTCCGCCCTCCCCCACCAAGAATTGGGAAATAAGGGAAATCAGAGGGCGTGCTGAGAATTAATTCAAAGATCAGTGTGGATGGGATCAGGAAAGAGCTATGACTTCCCAGCTAACAAGCCCTGCCTGGTGTCTGACCGGAGGTACTACTGTCTACCAAGATAGGACGAGCACCATCAGGAGGCAGAAGGACAGAAATGAACTCTCTGGAGTCAGCAGAGGTTTGGAGAAATGGCACTGACATCCACTGTTGAGGAAGGTGTCAGTTTAAACATTTGGGAAGACGACCATTTGCTACCATTTTAAATGTATATGTCCTTTGACCCCAAAAGTCTCAGTATCTACCCTAGAGAAATACTTACAAATGTTCAGAGATATAAATGACGTTCTTTACAGCATTCTACGTAATAGCAAAGACAGAAAATAACCTTAATGTCCGTAAATAGGGGAATGGTTACATAAATTTATGGTACATCAATGGAATATGTCCCAACAATTTAAAAAGATGAGGTTAAGCTATATAGGTCCAACATACTTTGTTAAGTGAAATAAAGTAAGTTGTGGTATAATTATGCAAATAATTATAAATATTAATATAAATGTTTATAATTATTTAAAT